CGGACAAATATTTGCATGTAAAGTTTCAGACTTGGGAAGAGATGTCAATAAACTAAGCTTAGTCTACCATCAAATGTTGCCCCTCAAAATGCAGCATATAGCATTTCGGAGGGTCAAAATTTCACATTTCACAGGGTAGCATGCCCCCAGACCACCCTGGGATTGCCGACAAATGTAGAGCCTTTAGCCCTCGACCTGATGTTTCGTCAAGCAAAATTGAGATGACGGAAAAGATTAAAACTGACTAGAACACTGGGTAAAAAGATTTTGGATAATACTTGAGCCTTGACACCTCCTCACAATTAACAGGTGGCCATCTTAGATAGGCAGGGTTCTTAATGCTTGTGTCAATGGGAAAACAATCTTGGGGACTGTCGAAAGTGGCCACTATGGCCAGGTGGTCCTTATGCAGAGGTGGTCCCCAGTACAGGTTTGACTGTACACATGTATATCAAAACCCTAAGGTATGTGAAGGATGGCTGGCTTATATCTTCTCAGACATATACATACAATACCACCTCCCTACAAGCCCCAGCAATGTCGACCTGATGTCAAATTCCCAAGTAGATACATACAGTAACTGTAACTCTTGAGAAACAAGCTTGGTTATGTAACCTCGTGTTATCAAGGTAAACTTCAATGGAATGTGGATTTGTGGTGTGGAAACCGCCCCTTTGACCATGATTCACATTATACTTCAGACCTGTCAAACCAAGTAAGGCAATGTTGATTTGATGATATGGATGACATCCATGCGCGCATTAATTTTTGTCCGTTTCCAAAAAAAAGTTTTCGACCATATGCATATACATACTATAAATCGTATAAAATAAGCAAATATATGTCGTTTGTTGCAAGAAAAAGTGTTGGAAAACGATACTAATGTCATAAAATGCCGTAATCAATTCAGGAAAAGAAGCAAAGGTAAAGAAATGAAAAATGAAGAGTCAATTATTATTCACCATACCATACTCTGTGTGTTTAGTCATTTGTTCAACCTTCATCACCACATATAGATTTTATAATGAAGGAAACTTTTTTTTGTCCAATTTTTTTTTATTTGCACGCTGGCATCAGTTTTAGGGTTCCCGGAGGATGTCATCCATATAATCAAATCAACATAGGCCTAATGTCTCTTAACAGAAATTCTATACAAGATAGAGAGACCAAGGCTCAAAATGTGTAATAAAGCAAGCTAACCTGACAAATAAACAGCTTCGACTTCAAACAAATTATCAGACACTTCAAAGCTATATGTTCAAGATTAAGATGCCACCAAAGCATGCCAGCCTTCCACCCTCAATGAGTTACAGATTAACATCGGATTCTTAGACGTCCGACCTTCTTGACTTGCTCAAGTCTGAGTAAACAGGCCCCAGAAAGAAACAATATGAACAGATTATAGACGGAGTTATAGAAGCCAGGTACTCCCTCCGACTATCCGGAACACCTTTCAACATTTGTAGAACCCTTTAATCCAATTGCCCTTTCATGACCACTGACATTTAAACCCTGTTTTTTCAGGGGGGACAAAGAATTAAACTGGATTTTTATGTGGATTTCGCACACCCACCGTCTTCCTGTGCCCGACTTTTTCATTGTTCCTGTTTCTGATTTTCAAAAGTGGTCATTACTGGTAGTTGTTAGCATTGCCTGGCTGGGTCTGTTATGTGAGGATTACTGGAGGCTCTGCATGGGGGGATCCTGGCAATGCTGAAAGGTGAATTTAGGAGGACCGATAATCAATGATAAATTCATGCAGGCTGGCAACTTGTACCGCTTTGGGAAGGAATTCAAATGTTCTTAATTTATATTTATGGAATGTATGGCAAAACTAGTCTGCAGATGCTCTTAATGCGTCATTGAAAAATTCTTCGCTCGACTACACTATACGAAGTATCTTTCATTTCTTTACAATGAATTTGGGATAACAAATAACGTTCTACGTGGAATTAAAGGGTCCAGTCACGCTTTACAAAGAAAATTTCTAGACAACGCTAACATTGGACTTCTACCATTAGCAGTGAATAAAACTGACTCTCTATGCCTCACAGAAAAAGGCATGCAGACCCTCTTCATATTAAAGTCCAGCATCTGTATTATCAGAACATGTCAGGGAGGAATGGGGATGTCGGTAATCAGTCACAGGTGAAGCCATAACTCTGCTCCTCCCTGAAGGTGTGCAGAGGTCACAACTGTTACAAACTGTTCACTGTAAATCACATTCCCATTAAGACTTTATTGGGGTATCGTTTAAAGCTCCAGTCATTTATATGTTAGAGTTTGTCCCTTTAGGATGTGGTAACGCACAGTAGATATGATTTTATCAATGTGTAGACTGTACAGACAACCTTGTACATGGGACAATATATAATAAGCAAAATTTGATTTCCCTGTGTCACATAACTTATTATATTTTCATGCCTGATTTTTAAGATGTCATTTTCATATTTCCTGTATCTTCTGGAGAGTATTTCAGCGAAAGTGCTGAATATATGTTGTACTTTTCCTTAAGAGTACCAGAACCTATAAGAGAATCAGATCCTTAAGAGTACCAGATCTTGAGATATTGATCAAGGATTCGGGTGTTTAAAAACTTGTAAGTATTTTCCAAGAACTGTCGTAGGGTGGAACTCGCTGCCACCAAGTACAGTTAGATGTGCAAAGATTGGGTGTAACAGGTCATCCAGTGTAATATAGCTAGCTGCCGCCACACTGCCTGTGAAGCTGGTGTTTTATACCAAAGGGTGGTCATACTGGCCATACAGCTGCAGAGAAGGAAGAGTTCTTGAAAACAAGTTGAAGGTGTCCTGACCTTCACCTGGCCTACTTCGCTGTACTTTTGAACCCTGAAGTCTCCCCTGACCAATAACTCAGGTGAGCCCTCAGCCTGGTTACCTGCCCCCCTTCAGCCGGACCTAACCTGTCTGTACGGTTTCCTCTCCTGGCATGGAGGTGTTGTATATCAGGGTTTAAACCCCTGCTAGGATCAGAAGAATGGAGCGAAGTTCAGAATTTCCACCTGAACCAGAACTAAGCCTTACACTGTGGCTGCATGTAAACAACAGCCTCCTAGTGGGGAACTTGAAGTTGACCTGGGGATATTTACTGCCTTTAAAGCCTTCTGGTCCTCCAGTGGTTGCTCACGGGTCTGCAGCCACTTAAACCCGATTTACACGTGGGCGAAAACCTGACGGTCTCAAAACTGCGTACACACGCGAGCGTCTGAAAACTGCATACATTTACAAATGTACGTCCTGTGTGTATTAATAAAATCAGCATGCTTTGACGTATTACCTTGAGGGTTGGTATACAATCTGAACATACATTCTTGCCTGCCTGCACCTTCATGCACCTGTAATTTAAAGACGTCAAAGCATGCCAATGCACAGTTCAAGTCCCATCAGGTTTTGGCACATGTGTAAATATTGTCACAGACAAGAAAGAAGAAGGTTGACTTCCTGTTCCACCTGTACTTGTACTTATTCGTGAGATCATTACCCAAACAACTGTGTTTTGTTGTCTTTTACATCATACTTTTCGTCCCTGCAAACTGCCGGGCTGGGCCTTGTGTTGGGAATTGTGACCTTAGCATTTAGAGTGTCAGGCAGCTCAGGCCACAGGCATTATATTATGTAACAAGACATACATGTACACATACAGTCTATGTATTCCCACATAAATTGACAGTCCCTCTGGTTTGTTCCACCCATACGGTGTAAACAGAAGCCATAAAGTGACACATTTTTCCCCACCCGGCAAGTTCAAGAGTTCAGGCCCTGGGAAGTTTTACCAGCAACACTGGAGAACCTAAACCACACCACACGTGACACCGGCAATCTAGCATGTTGCCCCCCACCCCCACCTGGAAACCATTCTTCCTGGCTTTGATCTTAACCAAGAACCAGTGTTCGGCTGTCCAGGCAAGGAAAAGAGATCAAGAACACCGCAAACACTCCTCCTCTCCAAAGAAAAAGAAAAACAGCAGGCAGGTAGTCACAATAGAGATGCCAGCTTCTCGGGAAAGGGCTGAGAGTGTTGTCTGAAAACAACATCGTGTGGGTTCTTGAGAGAGTTATTTGACACAATCTGACATCTACTTGAACCTGGCATACCGGTCGGTAGGGTCATGTGCTGAATAAAATCACGGGCCGGGTAGTTTTTACTGTCTGTACTGCCTGCAGCTTGTAATTCAGGACAAGTTGACGTGTTGGTCAAAAAGTGAGGTCAAATAATTTGTGGAGTGGGAACCTTAGCTCAAAGTCATGGGAAAACCTTGTGTTGAAAATTTGGCTGGTCTCTTGTTTAATCATTTCTACGGTACTTGCTGTTTTATAGATTAATATGACAAGAGAGTTTCTTAAAGCCATGTGGCCATGTTACACTGTATGTGGTAAACATGTGCATTGCCTATTGAGTCAGTTGGTCAAACTTGGCTTTGATGTTTCTGACTTAGGGAGAAGTGAGATGCTTCTGCAGTGAACACTAGTTCAATGCCCAGAAGTGGCCCTTGTAGCTTTATTGATTGCCTGTCTGAATGGCTTTCAGGAGAGAAGTTTTGTATAGAACATTGAAGGTAGAACATTTACCATCATCATCATTCATAAAATGTTATAGGACTCCTATGGAGGAATCCCTCCATTGACTGACTGACTGGCTAGTTTTCACCAGACTCCTTTGCACGCTGAAAAATAGTAGAAATCAGCCTAAAAAGAATGTAGCTGACCATGGGAGTCTGGTGAAGACTAGTTCTTGACCATTTAGGGCCCAAGTGTTGAATTAGGTTCTCTACATCTCATACAGGGCCACCTTCTGCATCTCTTGCTGTCCACTCAATGGCTATTATCATCCACCTGTTGTCATGCTGCTAGATGGGTTAGTTGGTGGCGCTTGAACCCCACTGTTACAACTCTCTGAAGAGCCAGACAATTCAGATAGAATCTTTCATCAGTGACTGAAGATGTTATATGGCTGTTTGTTGTCTTTATCGCCCTGTGCAGGACGCTGGGTGATGCCGTGTGCGGAGTGTGGAGACAGGAGCTCGTGCCACTGGAGCATGGCGGAGTGGCACCCCGGGCAGTGCAGACACGAGGTCATGAGCAGGGACAAGCTGCAGCAGTGTCTTACAGGGAAGAAGGTAGGACCCTGTCCACGTACTGCTTCATTAAAGGCATTGAAAGGGATTTCAGGGCAGCTTGCGAAGTCAATTTCCTGGATATTTCTTTTGATACAATGTTAAATCAATCCTATCATGTAGCATACTGGAGGGCCTGCAAGGGGGGGTAGTGATTACGAATTACGCAAAATTTTCGCCGCCTATTACGAATTACGTTTAAGTCTCAGAGCTGATTACGACTTTACGATTTGCGGCTAATGTCCAATTACGAATTACGTAGATTTTTGCGGAGGCTGCCTACGAATTACGAAGCCTAAAACGGCCTTGCAGGCCCTCATACTGATATCTGTGAAGCAAAAAATGCCATGTCGTTGATGGAAATTAGTTACTTGTTTCATATCGTAGACTGTTTTTTTATAATATATTTATTGGTGGTACCAAAAAATAATGGGACTCCTCAGATTAGTCTTGTTGTTGGGACAGCCATTTGAAATGCTATGCTAAGTATGAAATGGTGACAAAAATGTGCTAAGGCAATTTCGGACAGATTTCCTCATTTCTTATTTTGCTGCCCGGAAATTGCATTGGATTCTATTTTATCATTATAATGTACTTGTAAGTAGGTATTATTATTATTACATATATTATTATTATTATATAGGTACTGTTCATCGGAGACTCTACCAACAGAGGCATGATGTACTACCTGATGGAGCAGGTGAACGGAACTCTGACGGAGTGGGACAAAACTCACAACATCAAGGTCTACGACAACCTGAACAACAACAGGACCTCCGTCAGCTTCGCCTACTACCCGCAGTTCTGGCTGCAGGCCAATCACAGGCCGGTGTTTGACAAGGCGCTGTACCAGCTGATGAGAAGGTTCGTTGTTAAGCTGCTGTACATGTACCAAGCAGGACAGCAGAACTGCGTCTGCGCGAAATCAGGATTTTTAACAGTTTTTGTTGGATGTTTGGTCAACGTTGCAGAATGTTGCCCATCTTTTCCGACACTACATTTGAAAACTTTCGACTGGATGTCATCATTTAGCCTGGGTACCATCCGGATTTTCGCTCTGCAACGCTCGAAGAAATCACCCGAGCGTTGCGGAGCAAAAATCCGGATGGTACCCAGGCTAGTCATCATTAAATACGCGAATAATACCTTCAGCGAGACATTCTGCTGAAGTGCTATGCACAATGTATTTTTACTGGTTTCGCACAGGCGCAGTATGTTCTGACAATATGCTGATGTTGAGCAGCTGTTACAAGCATAACTGCCTTTTTGTAGCCTCCCCTGCCAAGGGGTAAGTCCGCGGATGACACAACCAAATAGTTGCCTTCATAATTGCCTTCAAATAAGGGAACTGCGATGCTCTGCTCAGGGCACGGTCTTTACTCCCTGCTGTTTTATAGATCCATACCCGGCAAACGATACTTTTTCTTAGGTTATACTGGGATTATGGCTGAATCCATTCCCGCAATAATGAGGCGCTAATTTTCACCCACACAGGAGTACATGTATGAGATAGAACATCTGGGTAGGAAGGCTTATACATGCAGGTCTGTCCAGACATCTTCTATTCAAGGCCAAATATCAAACATATAGTAGAAAGTACTAGACAAGTGTAGTGAAGAATTAAGAGGCAGAAAATTGGCTATGGGCTTTGGGTTGCTTGATGATATGACTGGAGAGAACCATATCAAAGGTTAAAATCAGGACTTTACCATTACTGTCAAATACTAGCATAGTGTTTTGAAGAGCTGGCTGCATGTTGGTGAGTGGAGGACATCGTATGTCGAATTTTTCCTGCGTGTAAATCTGCTTTGAAGTACATCGCAAAGATACATGTACGGTCACATTGTGCGCCAGCCCTTGAGATAATTTGCATCAAAGCAAATCAATTTACATGTACGTGCAGGAAAAATTTGATGTACGCAGTTTTTGTACGCTCGTGTGCATATGCAGTTTTGTACCATCAGGTTTTTGCCTGCATGTAAAACTCATACATTGTAAGGCAGTTGTTAGTTAGTTTTACAAAGTTCCTTTTCACCCCCCCCCCTCCAGGTCGTTGCCCCTGACTAACAGTTCTGACACCATCCTGGTGGTGGGCGGGGTACACTGGCTGGCCACGCATCATCTCAACGTGGTCAAACACTCACTGGAGAAGTAAGTCCTCAACATCTTTCTGTATTCAGCATATACATGTATGTTACAGTAGTGCACTTCATCTAATGTACATATAGTCGGTGCAAACAATATAATAATAATTGTATATCAACTGCTTTATGAACACCAGCCACTTTGAGTCATGCAGCTGCAATATTGTATGCTTGCACCTGCTGTACACACAAACAAGCTATCATGAAGTCTTTCAGTTTCAGGGGCCTGCTGTATTGAGCAACAAACTCTCTACTAAGCAAAGGCAACGTACCACTAGAAGGGCTTTTAAAGATGGACTGAAGGACTGAAATAGGACTTATTCTTATACTTAGTTTTAATTGTGCTGAACATGTTGTGATTTGTTTTATTTATTTATTGTGTATGAAAGTTTTATGTCCCCATTCCCAGGGACACCTGAAAACCAGGTCATAGAAATAGTTGTGCTCTACTGGTAACATAAATGAAATAAAATGATTTTCAGCTCATTGTACTTCATTCTTTTCTCCAAATGTCTGGTGTACTGTGACCTTTTAAGCCCGCAAATTTTTTTCTTACCTTTAAAATCTTGCTGATGGAAGTCCGTTGTGTTGCAGGGAGGGTCTGACAGGTGTGAGGGTCATCATGAAGAGTCTGGGGTCGGGCTTCCACCTTCCTGTGGACGGCATCCACTGTCTCTCACAGGTAAGGATGCAACCTGTAACAGTTAAGGGTGGATGACTTGATTTAGGAGGGAATGCATGGGGGGATCCTGGCAACGCTTAACTGTAGATATAGGACAGCAGGCAACACTTAAAAATAAATTAGAGTTGTTCTTGTGTAATGCGTTGGGAAGAACTTACATGTAATTGGAATGTTCTTTTGTATTCAATGGGTTCTTGCTTATTAAAA